ATGCACAAATATTAGTAGTTTAAACTTTATCCTCATAATTTATTATTTTTTTTATTTTTTTTAAAAAATAAAGAGGTTTTCAGGAAGAGTAAATCATATATAATTTTAAAACCATGTTGTCTTGATATAATAGTTGTAGACATTTCTTCAAAATAATCTCATCTTGACCTTATAATTTTAATTATAACATAATTTCACCTATAATTTAATTCAACCGATTAAATACAATATAATTACTAATTTGGTTGCGACTTGATTCCTGACTTGATTTCTGCTTCAAGTCAGTGCTAATCTATGGCAGCGAAACATGGTACTTAAACAATTAGCGATTCGTAAACTACAAACATTTGTAAATAGATGTTTACGAAATAGGTAAAGTCGGTATTTAGCGGCCCCGTACGATAACTAATGCTCTCTTGTCAAAATATTTAAACAAATCCATATTGAAATTGGACATATCTTTCGAAAAAAAGGAAACGAAATAGTATATGTAGCCAAACAATAAAATCACCAAGATACAGAGGACGACTCAAGATGACATGGCGTAGAAGTGTTAATAAGGAAACGAATAAAACATTAAATGAGTAAAGATATATAACTAGAAACCGAGATTTGTGAAAATCCTATGCAAAAAGACTAAGTTCTTAATATACCTCTAATTGATATAATGCTAGGATATGTCAGTAATAATAATGACTACTGATTAATTCAAAATTTTTGTTAAACTTTACAGTTTAAAGTAGATGAAATTAAATTAGAATTATGAAAGCCAGTATCTCCAAAAAATATTTTAAGTTCAGATATCGTTTTTAGAACTATATGCTTGACAGTATTATTTCAATTTATAGTATTCCAGAGGTGGTTTCAGTTCTTAAGTGCAAAAAGGCGTAGTGATTTCGAACAGATGTGAAAGAATCTTTTCAAAAAGAGTTATAAACTCGATATCTTTTCACTTACTATATCATTTACACTACTGTAATTGAAGATTAATTACATTTGTCAATATATTTGAAGTAAAGAATATGTGGAAGACCCTAAGAATCGTTTATAATTCTTATTAGTGCAATAGGCATACACGTCTGGATTTGGGAAAATCATTCTGGTTTTTAAACTTGAATTTTTAAATTAAATTGTTTTAAATTTTTTTTTAAAATTTTAATATTATTTTTAATGTTGTATACAAACTGTTTCATGACTGTAGGCATATGTATTCGAAAATTAGATTTCAAGTATTAGACTTTACATAATTAAATATAACTATGTAAATATATATGTTATGTTTTTATTCAAAATTGGCTGCACTAAAGGTTCAGTATACAATTAAGAAAAAATTCTTTAAAAATAATATTATATCAAATCAGTAGTTACTTTAAAAATGGGTTAGAATCGTATTTGATCACTCCTTATTCAACGGTTTTATATATTTTTAGCTGTTTTTGTATTTTTATCTATTTTGTTAGATTCATTGTAATCTCATATCTGTTATTTCTTTTAATCACTGTTTACTTTGATTTAAAAACAATTCTACTGAGATTAACGCGATATACTCAAAAACTAATAGACTAGATTATCGATAACAAGAAATACGAGAATAAAACAAAGATGCAATTCTAGAGACTATTTTTTCTATATCAATTTAGAAGGACAAAACAAATAAAGAGACAGATTTATCTGAGCTGGATTCGTCATGCTGTAATAATCTCGGAGGTTTGTAACATATATTACATTTTGAAACTATATTGACAATTATATATTCGTTACTCATAGGTTCAGTTAGGCTGGTATTGACCCTTACGTTATTTACGTTATTTATTTCCTTAACAGTACACGTTATTTTACTGAAGATGATCTAACGCCTCTAAAGCTGAAGCAAATATTATTAAGATTCCTAAATTACTTGAAGATTTTGGCCTACTTTTAATATGTCGACATAAAGAAGTAGTTGAAATTTGATAAAATACTGTGATTTAGCCTAATTTATTTTCAACCAGTCTCTTAGATTTGAATACGGATAAGGTTATACTTATTACTATACAATTTCATAAAAAGTTTCGAATATTTTCAATACAAAAATTTTAATGTTATTTAGTTTAATTTCATTTTAATAATTCTAGTGTTCATAGAGGTACTGGTATATATTTATTAAAGTTTTGGGTCCCATCGAAGGCACTGACTGTGTTCAGATCATATTGCTCTTTTATTTTATATCTTTATAAATAAATTTTGTTAAATTTTTTACTTTAATTTAGTTATTTTTATTTTATTTAATTTCTTATATGTTATATATTATATTGCTTTTTCATTCTTTTTTTTTAAAATTGTGTTTTTTATATAATTTTATTTCATTTATATATACATGATTTAATCTTTAAAGTCAATTATGTTGAGAGAAACCATTTTCTTAACAGAAGTTAGAACATAGAAGCCAATTTCGGCTATTGGTCAGTTGACAATGACTCTGAGCTTTTTGGGAGTGTACAAGTTCAATCCTTGATACTTGCAGTCTCTGAAAACAATTTACGAATAATTAATTATAAAAACTATTTCTTAAAAAACCACTGCTAATAGGTATTTGGTAATTTTCCAAATAGTAACTGAAGAAAGTTCAGATATCGTTGTTTTTATTTACTGCCTACTGTATGAACTATTTTTCTAATATATTTTATTTTATTTCATTTTAATAAACTTTATTTTAAAATATTTTATTTTATTTTATATATATTTTTTTTATTTTAATTTATTATATTTTATTGTTTTTAAATTAGGCTACTTTGTTTATTCTTTTTTGTTTTGTTTTATTTTTATTTGTATAATTTTATTATTTTTATTTTGATTTAATGTTTTGTTTAACTTATTTTATATTTATGTTTAAATTTTGCCGGGCTTTAGGTAATGTTTTTAAAAATCATATTTTCATATAATAACTTATACAATATCATTACAAACATAAGATTAAATAAAAAATAACACAGTTATTATGTATATATTTTTATTTAACAGTAATTTCCAGGAATTATGTATATTTCTGGATATAAATAAAAATATACACTTATCAACTGTGATATTTTTTATTTAATCTTATGTTTGTTTTTATATAACATAAGTTATTATAAAGAAAAATATTTTTTAAAAAGACGACCTACAACCTAGTAAAATTTATTTTATTTTCTTAATTTCATTCTGATTAATTTTATTTTGTTTATTTTAGTTTAATATGGTATATATTTTTATAAGTTATTTTACTTTATTTTAACATATTTGATTTTATTCAAATTTTAAATTAAAATTATTTTATCTTACTTTAGTTTACTTTATCATTTTAATTAAGGTTATTTTATTTATTTTTATTAAATTTTATTTAGTTTGAATATACTATCTTTTATTTAATTTTAATTAATATTATTAAATTTTTAATTCAATTTTCTTTTATTTTATTTTATTATATTTTATTTTATTTTGATTTATTTAACTTTATATTATTACAGTTCAGTTTTGTTTTTATTTTACTAATTTTTATTTTATTTTGTTTCATTTTGTATTAATTTGATATAATTTATTTATTTTTATTCTATTTTATTTGATTTTAATATATTATATAACTAGTATAGTATAGTTCATTTCTTTTTGATCTTTTTATAGCATTTAATTTAATTTATTTTTCTTATTATTTAATTTCAATATATCTTACTTTGATTCAAATCTCATTTTATATAATTTTAATATATATATTTTCTTTTATTTTTCTTATATTGATTACATTTTATATTATTTAGTTTTATTTTATATCAGTTTTTATTTAATATATTATATATATATATTAAATATATATATTTATTTAATTTCATTTTCTTTAGTTCTATATTATTATGTTTTTTTCTCATTAATCTCATTTTGTATTGTTTAGTTTTATTTTATTTCTATTTAATATAAATTATTTTAATATATTTTCTACTAGGTTTTTTACGTTAGTTTAATTTACTTTATTTATTTTTTTTTTTATTTTTATTTAATAGTTTCTGTTTATAGCATTTTGATTTAATTTACTTAATTTCCGTATATTTTATTTGTTTTTGTTAAATTCTATAACTATTACTACAAATTTAAAACCCAATTAGTTGGTGTTTTGTACGAACTAAGTTAGTGGTGTCTAAAATTGGTCTACAATTGGTTCAGTATTGTTTTAATATTTACAATATTTTTTTTGAATTTTAAGACTTGTTATGTTTCTAATATATTTCAACATGAAAATACTAAAATTTTAATATTTTCATACATATATAAATATTTTTAAAATAAAACACTTGACGCGTTTCCGAGAAAGTTGGTCTGAAGTCAAATATTATCACTTGAAATCACATCAACAAAAGTATCACATTAAAGAGAGTTTGACTCAATAAGAAGAAAATCAATATTTGCAATGAAATAAAGAAATGTGAACACAGAAAAAAAAACAAAAATGTAGAGAAAAAATTGTATAAGTGTCGAAAGTGAAAGATAAACAGTAAAAGCCAACTGAAAAGGAATCAGCATGCATAACGACCTAAAGGACGAAAAAAAAACAAGGATGTTAGAAATAAAGTGCTACAGCAACGCACTCAATATGGCAGCAGGCATTTCATGTGTTCGCACATAAAGCAGCAACAACTCCGAATATTGTCGTAAAAGTATAAAAACATTTGGACTTGTAGATACTTAGTTGCACTTGTGAAACTTCAAGCCAACAACAATGACATAACTCGAAGGAAGAACAGCTGATGCAGCCAACTGCTCCAACGCCAACCCCAACCCCATCCGCACCGACTCCCACAACATACATAAGTAGTTTAAAAAGGTAATCGCACTTTGTTGTGTATGAAGGAATAATATTTTGCAAAATATTTTTGTTATTTTTTTATATTTTTTTCTTATTCGTTTTTGTTTTTGTTTTTGTTTTTCTTTTGCCTTTTTGAGATTTGTTTTTGTTTCTTTTGTTTTTGACTTTTCAAAGGACATTCACTTACCTGGCTTAGTGCTGGATAAGATTTGCTGTTGCTGCTGTTGTGAGTGTTGGGACTGTTGCTGATTTGGCGGCAGTTGTTGCTGTTGCTGCGTCTGTGGATGTTGCCCGTTTAACTGCAAATGCGGCGGCGGCTGCTGCTGTTGTTGCTGCTGTGCAGCTGCCGGGTGAATGGCAAGCAATTTAGTTTCGGGAGGCTTATGGGGGCCCACTGTTATCTGTGGGGCCCCCATAGCTATAGTGGGCGCTGGCATCATAAGTGTTGACATGGCCAGCATAATTTGCGAATGAATTTTGAAATATTTTTCTATGTCTCTGTCTGGGCTTGTTGCTGTTTTTATTTTACTCTTTTGCTCTTTTGCAATTTTGCACTTGGATTGTTGCAGTTAAACTGTTGATGTTTTTGTTTTTTGTATATAGGAAAGATTGATTTATATTTTTATTTTATTTTTGTCTAATATTTAAACTTAAATTTTGTTTATAATGAATTTATGAACTTGATAATTAATGGATACTTTGATGTTTATTTAATATAGTTGTTCTATTGGAAATAACTCCAGCAGCTTGATTATATGAGAGCTATTAAAATACACTAATATTGAGTATAACTTTAATATTAGCTGATATATATATCAAAAGAATTTTCAAATAAACCAAAACCGTGTTAAAATAATAAAAGATATAATTAATTTTATTAAAAACTAAAGTAGAAGTCATAGAGAATTTTTGAAGTCTTAGAAAATATAATTAAAAAAATGCAGATTTTTTTTTTGGAAAGAGCTGCGAAGAAAATTTATTAATATTTTAGTATAATTAAATTTATTTGTAAGAAAACTATTGAAATTAATATTAATATTCTGAAAGTTCATAATATTGGCTATTCCGGTATTGAAGTTGAAATGGAACTTGTCTTTAAAATATTTTGTACTTAATGTTTAAGTTCATAAACTTGGCATTTCCGGTATTAGAGTTGGAATAGAACTTCTGCATAAAAAATGTTGTATTTAATATTTAAGTTGAGTGGTAGTGCAGTTCATAATATTGGAGTTTCCGGTATTAAAGTCTCCTCGTTATACTTAAGATTTTTATTTTATCTTATAAAGTATTTTATTCGACACCAAAATACTTGTAAATATTAATAATAAAGATTATAAAAGAAAATATAAATATGAAATAAATTTAAACTTTTCTAGTCAGCTATTTAAAATAAAATATACATTATATGGAAACTATCTATTTATATGAATATGAAAGAAAAATAAATGAATAAAATCTCCTATTCAACATAGTAATAATTTTTCTTAAAAGATTTTCAATAAAATTATTCTCCAGAAATCCAAAAATTATTTAAAATTATATTATTCAATCATCAGAATTCCGGTAGTCATCATCAGAATTGTATAGTGTTTAAGATATTGTCACATCTTCTCTTCTTTATTAAATGCATCAAAGGATAATGAAAAATAGTCTTATTAATGCAATAAAAAAATATATGTCATAAAACACTGAAATATCGCATCGATTCGATTTGAAACAATGTTTTTAAAATTTTCATTTTGGTTGGTTGATTAAAAAATTTTTTAAACTAAAAGAACTCGACTCTCGAAAAGTATAGAGCAGTGAAAGTACGAACACACGAACGAACCACAAGAGACCCCAACTGAAACACAAAGCGTACGTACTAAACCGTTAGGCGACGCTTTTCTTACTGAAATCAGCAACGCATTGGCTAAAAATTAGAAATGCTTCCATAAGCTACAGGATTTCATACGTTGAAGAGCCACCAGCAGCAGCAGCATCGGTTATACGAGCTTCTGAACGCAATCCTACCAAAGTGTTAATCGGTTTTGGTTGGTAGGGAGCACTGTGGACTTGTGCGTTTATGTGCTCGCCTAACAAGTGAGGCAGATATGCGAATTTTCGAAATTGTCTTAAAATATTTTTCACTCGTCTACACTCCGTAAAGCAGCTTGTCATGGATTGGGCTCCTACTAATTTTGCCGACATCAAAATGTGAACATACACACATGTTCACGTTTCCTTGCCTTCGCAAGGATTCGTGCTCCTTAAGCATCTCTGAAATTTTACGTTCTCTTCTCATGCGTTCGAATTTTGATTTTCGAACTCTGTAGCTTCGCCTCTTATGAATTATTTACGAATTATGCGCTCTCATTCTCACATGTATTATACAATGCTCTTCTCTTCTCTTTTGCTCTTCTTTAGTTTGCATACTAAACTGTCGTGTGCAGTTCTCGCCGTTGTCGTGTTTCGACGATGTTTTTGTTGATACTATTTCTGTTGCTTTTGTTTTCGTCCTTATGTCGTTGGATTCTTGTTGTTGTGACCATTGTCGTTGTTGTTGTTGTTGCATTGTTTTAGTGTTTAAAAATGTTCGTTTTTGTTGCTGGTGTCGTTGCTGTTGTCCTTTGGAATTTGAACTCATTCTGCAATCGATTTCATGCATTGCGCCGACTCCGGCCGTGGTCTTATAAAAAGGAGTCTATATTGTGGATGGATGAAATCCCTTTGAGATTTAATGTGCTCGTTTCACTTTTGTGTTGAATAAGTTTTGCTTCGCATTTGTCTATATTGTTGCTGTTATTATTGTTATTTTTGTAGCTGTTGTTTTTGTTGCTATTGTTTTTGTTGTTGTTATTATTTTAAAAACATATCGAATGGAATTTTTGTTGAATGCATTTAAATGCATTTGTATATGCAATTGTATGATTGCAATTGCTTACACCAATAATACAAAAAACGTAGTGCAATTCTCAGTAGAATTTGTTAGTTTCACAATTTTTTATATATTATATATAAAAATTTATAATTATAAAAATAATAAAAATATTATTAATATTTTTAAAAATTAATTTTGTTTATTTTAAGAATTTTTATAAAATTTTTATGCTTTTAAAATGCTGTTCTAACGGCCGGTATGTTATTCACCATTAATCGTGGTGAATACGGTATTTAGCTTGTAGTGATAGATTTCCCAGTATTTCATAAAATAATTTCAGTTAGAAGCAAGCGTCAGTTATTTTATAGCAAATTATAACAGTTTTGCATTACTTAGAGAAAGAAATTCTTCAAATGTTTTAAACAACTTTAGTAATATCTATAGTAATATTGTTATTATAAAGTTTCAATCGATAATAATTAACAGAAATTTTTGTAAAAATATTTCCATTAATTTTAGTTAATGAATCTTTTTTAAATAAGTGGACTGCCATAGATATTTAGAAGATCTGATTCAAAAAATCAAATCATTTATTTAAATTTATTTTATTTTATTTAAAGTTTATTTAAAAATTTTAATTGATTTCACATAAAATTTAAGGATGTTTTAGCTTCGGATATTGAAACCAGATAATATTATTTTTGGAAAAGAATTGCTCCTTAATTCATGCGAAGTTGTTTTTTACTTCAAACATATTTCGATGCATACTAAATGATATATGCTTTGAAGAATTGGTACAAAGGTACATAAAAAACTTTTATCTCAATTTTAAATAATTTATTTCAAAATTTATTTTTTTCGGGCGAAACAATCCCTACAATCAAAGTTATTACGCTTTGATAGTGGTATATGAAAAAAAAGATGTTGGAGGTTGCCTCAACCTTTAGCGTAGCACTTTATATTTATAATTTGCAACAGTGAGGGGATTGAGAATGAAGAAAATGAATTTCATCCTCAAAAATTATATTAAAGTATATAATCAATATATTCATTGCTCAGAATATATTTGCTGCCGTTTATAAAAAGTGCTACTATATATCAGAATCATGTTCTCATAAAAATCGATTAGGGTTTATCTGATGTCGATTTATTATCAACATTAAAGAGACTTTCTCTTCATTGATGGTAATCTGAAATCGCAGTTTCTTCAGTAATTAAATAAGAAATAAAATTGTGGTGTTTGATAAAGTGAAAATCCAGACGTAACTATTTGAAACGTATTTCATCCATATAAAGTCACAGTATGCCGTAACGTTTGGATCGTATAGTGAGAGATAATCTTAATAAGATAAACTGCTATACAAAGCACAAATCGTCAATTCGTAATGCTATCGACACTTGATTACAAATTTTTTTGGTTTGGAATGGAAGGTATTGATATGAAATATATTAAGCGAGAACTTGCTCTAGTAAGTTATATCACAATCTAGTATGATCATGCTGTATACGACTACTGGATTTATTTTATGATGTTATGAAAAGAGTGATATTTATTCGTATAGTTTTCAAATCTTAATTTATGGGAGATGCTATTCCCCGCTATGTGCGCTTAATTCATCGAAAATTATTTTAAATGGATCGTGTTAGTCATTCCATTTAGAACATTTGTGTTTTGATCGAAGGGATTCACGCATCAAAAGCGATATATTTATAAACAATACCAAGAATCAAGACTTCAATAACCAAAGAAAGATAACCTACATTGCAAAACCTATCTTAAGATAGCGACAAAGAACCATATTTGGTGATACGATTTAAATATATATTAAAAATAGTCATTCAACAGCAATTATGTTACAACCTAATTGGCATAAGTCACGTCCTTATATACTAGAAAAAAATACTGGCACAACAAAAGTGCTTCTATATAGCACTTTTGTGATCTTTATACTTACCATTTAAGTTTCAGTAAGATACAATTCATTTGTTATACTGTTCCCTCTTGAACGGCACATTTTTCAGTACTAGAGTTGTCCAGAAATTGATAGGACCGTGTAGATATGTAGATAATCAAACGAGAAATTAGTATTTTTAAGATCTTATATCATTTTAAAAATCTCAAAAATAAAAGTGTTAAGTATTAATAGAGATCTATTAATATCTTAGTAATAACAGAAAAAAACTACATATTAAGAATAGTCACATATGAAAATAAAACCAAAATGATTAATCTCCGACTCTTATGAAAGATAAACTCATAAGTCCAATATAATTTTGGACATGTATGACATTAAGATATAGAATGAATAAACATCCGAATTTAAAAAGGTTTTCTGTATATCAAAATTAACGAATTTTCAAAAAAAATGAATATGAGATATTATTTCATTCACTTAAACCGAAAAGGATATAAATCGACTTCAACTATAATTTTATGAAAGTGTTAAAACATAATATTATTGTAATTTAAATACATAGCGTGTAAATTTCAGTGATAATCAAAATTCTTTCTAATATAATAGCTATCAAGAAATAGATAGGCCCTTATTTTGGAGACGATCAAATGAGAAATTGATGTTTCCAATGTAAATAAATATACGGTTCACCTTTTGTTATTGTAACAAAGATTGCTTTAATTCTCTACGTTTATTAAAACTATGTGCTAAGTTATTAATAAAAAGTTGAAAGTAAGAAGATTAGCATCCTTTAGTAGCAAATATTTTTATT